CGCCCCATGCTAAGTCGTGCTGATGTTTGCCAACTTCAGCAGGAAATCTGTCCGAACTTCCTCGCTCACCGTCGTGTTTGCCGAGAGAGATTTGATCCGCTCGTGCTCCGTCTCCCGCCTTGATATGTAATCCTGCACTGACTCCGATCTATTGCAAAAACATTGGAAGACAAACCCCTCGAATGCTTGCTGCTTTTGTAATGGTGCGATCCGTTCGCACGCTTGTCGTACTGTGGACACTACCAACTTCACTGCAGCAAGTGGGTCATCACCTGCTTTGTCCAATACTGCTTGCGTTGCAATCTCGATCTTTCCTCGTGAGATTCCACGCTCGCCCATGCAACGAGTTCTTGAGCTTGATTGCGTAGAACTTCTCGATCTTTTCTTCACTCGCATGACAGCCGAGTGCTGCCCGCTTTTCGAACTCCTCCTCGCAGGCCGGGTCTCCATTGTAGTGTACCATGCCCTCTTTGTCCACGAAGAGGGGTCCGTCGTTGTTGAACTGCTGCTGCCTGGTCGCCATCACGTCTGTGATGGGGATGTTGTCGTGCAGCACGTCTTCGCTGTCGTTGCTACAACGATTGTCGGCCAGGCTGCAAGCGATGAGTCTGTTGATGTTCATCGCCGAGTTATGGAAACCGCAGTGGTAAAGCACCGCGAGAATAATCAGCGCCAGCATGTACTTTTGCACGGCCACTTTGCTCTGAATCTCGCAACCGCGGAACTGATACGGCTCCAGGCTACCAGTGTAAATATAGATGACAAGATCCCTCCAACCAGTACTTGATGCAAGCACAAGACCGAACAGGAAATTACATTTTTTATCTCCGTACTCAAACCACACGTGAGTAGGTGTGTCCACCCTCCCGCCCAGCTTGTGAGCTACAACGGTTGCGGGCGAGAGGGACACTGCACACAGCACGAGCGAGAGCAGCAACAGCAGAGATAATTCTCATTACCATCCTAAACCTCACATCCCTGCCGACCAGATTTTCACACTTGGGGCGCTCTTGGGGTCGCTTGGGGGCCTCTTGGGCCGCTCTTGGGCCTCTCTTGGGCCATCTCGGGGCCAACTTGAGGGCATTTGTTTGGGGGGGTGTTTGAGAGATTTTGGCTTCTTGGGGGTACCTGAGAGGGCTCCAAGAGCACTTGGAACCGTCTTGTGGCCCTCGTCGGGCCTTTCGGAGGTATGTTCGGAAGCTATATTGGACCATGTCCGGCTGTCTTGAGCCGCCTTGGAGGCCATCTGAGAGCATCCGACGCCCTCTTAGAGCCATCTTGGTCCACCCTTGGCGTCCTGACACCTCGCGGAATCTTCAACAGAGCCCCAGGGAGGGGAGGGGGAAGAAACCCCTCCCCGCAGGAAGAGGGTTTTCGGAGGAGGAAAGAACGATATCATTAGACCAGCTTGGCCCAACGGGCTGGTGGGATTCTTGCTAGTGGGCGTTTAATACCCATCGCTGCGCCCATCGCCCTTTTGAGGAGGCGTGGTGCACTTCTAGCGCCGTTAGCCGCCGCTCCGCCCCCGCCCCCCCACCTCCCTCATCTTCTTGCGTGTCTGTATGAAGGTACATAGGGGTATGTGTATATGTATATCTGCATATCTGTATAGGTTCACGTGCATATAAACATACATACATTTGTTCGCTATAAACGTTAATACGTATATGTGTATATTTGCACATTGTTGTTTTCACCAACGATCCTGTGGTGTTGGGCTTTCGTTTTGAAGAGGGCGCCCCATGTCACTCCTTTTCCTTTCACTCCTCCTTCCTCCCATCCCTGCCTTCGCTCTCCGTATGTCCGTTTCGGCACACTCTGCGCACGTTTCGTGGTCCTATAGGTGTTCCAACTAAGGCCCAAACGCCAGGGTTCGCATGGCGGCGCCGCCTCATTATGGTACACCCCTCACACGTCTCGTGGCCGCACCTGGAGCTCCAACTACGGCCCAAATGCCAGGGTTTGCATGGCGGCGCCGCCTCATGTTGGCACACCCCTCACACGCTTCGTGGCCCCAATGCAGCTCGACCGAAGTTCCCAGTGGCAGCGTTTGCATGGCGGCGCCGCCTTCATTTGAAAGAGCGCGTGCTGTGGACGCTGAGAATGGGTGGGGTCGAACCGCTCCCCCCCTTGAACTGCAGGAGGGGTTCGAACCGGCCCTTTTCCCGGCAGTAGTCTATGCTCCGGTCGGGTGGGCTATACCCCGGTTGGACGGGTGATTCCTCGGTTGACGGGGGGAGACACTTTTGGAATGTAAGCTCTAGAAGACTTTTCGCAATTGATTTCGATTGTAAGGCATCTTGAGAAAGTCTGGAGTGCCAGCAATCATATTCTGAGTTGGCGGCAGCTTGCTCTGCTGGATTTCTGTACAGGGTGGCAGTCGCAGTTGCGTTTGAGACAATTACTTTTTCGTATCAGACACATGCGTCTCTCATCTGCAACACATACGTTGCGCATATGAACTTCTCATGTGTCTCGTATAAACACCTGGCGCGTCTCTTCATTGATAATCCCACGCTTCGCAGAAGGGAACTGCACCCTCCAGTGCCGCAGACCATGCGCTTGTCGTGGAACAGCCAGACGTTCCGTACATGCAAACCACGCGTTGCACGTATGAAGACAACGCGAATTACCCACCATCACGACCACCAGCAGGACCATCACCGCGACCACCAACACGACCACCGCCAGGACACGCCAGGATAGCCAGGTACACGATCAGCAGCGGGAACCATCGACGCGACCGCCCGCAAATGCACTCGCACGACCACCAAGAAAAGCCAGGTCGAGCGTATCCGATCGTCCACAATGACAGGGGGGGCTGCCAGGAGTCGCGGTCGCCATCGCAAACAACCAGCACGACCACCAACGCGACCAAGATAACGATCACCAGCACGACCAGAAGCGCGACCATTACCACGACGGCCACCATCGCGACCACCAACACGACCGCCACAAACACCCACCAACCCGATCAAGATCACGACCTCCAGAAGGACCAAGCCGACCGGATCCCATCGTCTGAAATCACGCGGGGGGCACTAGCACGGCCGCCAGCAGTACACGTCGGTCGGAAGAAGTCGATGAAAACATGAAGTAGGAAGGCGGATAAAGTAGAGTGGGTTCAGGCCCCCCCAGAGAATAACAAAACAAAGTAGAACTGTGTCGGTTCATGAAGTAGGAATGCGCTTGGCGTAGATCCAGGAGTACCCACTTCAATGACCGGCGTGCGCGACCAACAGCATGACGACCGACCACAGGCACGAACCACCCGCACGACCGCCACCACAGCCCCAGCACGACCACCCAGCAGAACCAACAAAGCACATAAAACTCGAGAGCAGCCCGTCTACACCTACTGGGGGGCGCTGCCAGGACCGCCATGGCCAGCACAACCACCAGCGCGACCTCTGGCACGAAAATCATCACGACCGCTAGCACGAGCCCCAGCGCGACCGCCAGCAGCACGACCAACACCACGATCAACGCGATTAATGGCATGAACCACCAGGCATGACCGCTGGAGGCTCCTGAAGACTCATGGGAAATCCTGGGGGGGAAGAGGAAGGGGGTGCAGCAGAAAGCGGCCCAGGGCTTCTGGACAGAAGCCGCGGGGGCCCACTGCGCCGCCCGCCCCCCCGCAAGGGTGACCCTAGGATTCCGAAAGGGCCCAGACATCATTGGAGTGACCGCAGGAGAGAATTTTCGTCGGCACGCGCCCTCGGAGAAAGCGCTTTCCCGCACCATCGGCCCCAGGGGGCCAGTTTCGGACCCCGGGGCGGCGGCCTCAAATGAAGGCTGGGTGCCAGCAGAGAGTGTTCCAGCAGTTAGCGGAAAACAGGGTTGTGACGTCGCCGTCGCCGACGTCGTTGTCGTCACCGTCGCGGTCACAGTCGCCGCCGCGGTCGTCGCCGTCGCCGTTTTCGCCCCTGTCGCCATCGCCGTCGCCGTCACCGTCGCCGCCGTGGCCGTCGCCCTCGCTGCTGTTGCCGTCGAAGCCGTCGCCGTCGCCAGCACCGTCGCCATCTCCGCATCTCCGCCGCCACCACCACCGCCATCGCCACCGTCGCTGTCGTCATCGTCGTCGTCGCCGCTGGCGTCGTCGTCGTCAGCGTCTTCGCTGGCGCCGTCGTCATCGCCGACGTCGCCGCCGTCGCCGTCGCCGTCGCCGTCGCCGCGTCTCTGGCGCCGTCAATGTCACCGCGGGCGCTGTCGTCGTCGCCGCCCTCACCGTCGCCGCGGCCTGGCCATAAGTCGAACTCGCAAAATGCCCCGCTTGGAGGCCCAGGGCCCGCAGAAAGCAGCCCACGGCACGACGTCCATGCGAAAGATGGGGTCCAGAGCTTCTGGGAGCCCTAACAGGCATAGGTCCTTGAAGGCAGCACGGGCCCGAGCGGTGGCAGAAAAATTGGCCCACGTCGTCAGGGCCAGGACCTTGCCGTAGTCACTTTGGTTCAATCTGTTGTGGGCTGCAGTCATTTGGGGGTGCCTTGCAAGGATGCGGTCGGGAACTTTTGCGTTTAGCGTGTTGCGCCGCTGGTTCTGGTCCCCCACGCCTCGGGGCGACGCGCTCACCACGTCCGAGGCTCTAAGCATCAACGCCCCAAGCTTTTCCCCGCCTCCCGCCCCGCGGAGCGGAGCGTCACGCCATCTGCTTGCAGGGCAAAGCGTGTCGCTGAGGCCACCGCCGCGACACGCTAAGCAACGGTTCTTGACCGTAGCCCCAGTCGCTTGTCAAGCACCCCGAGTCGAGCAAGTATCAAGTGGGGTTCCCTCTTAGGTCTCGCTGGCGTCTCCAAGTCTGTGCTCGGATCGTTTGTCAACAGCCCGACTGAGACCACGCCGACAGTCGCCTCCTACAAGCACACTTTCCAGTGCAGTAACAATACTGTGGAGGCCACATTGAACATCCAGAGCCCATCTGGGCTCTGCGACCCTTCCGTCAAGCAGCACAGCGGCTACTTCACGTTCGGGAAGGACAAAAAGCAGTCTTCTTCTGGATGTTTGAAAGCCGCAACGACCCTGAGAACGATCCGACGGTCATTTGGCTGACGTGTGGACCAGGCTGTTCTTCGATGACAGGGCTCTTATTCGAAAACGGCCCGTGCAAGGTGAGCGCGGATGGAAAATCGACAACTCCGAACCCGTATTCGTGGACCACCAAGGCAAATGTCATGTGGGTTGATCAGCCACCAGGGACAGGCTTTTCGAAGGGCTCATCAGACTTTGGCGAGGACGGTGTCGCTGAGGACATGTACCAACTCTTGCAGGTGTTCTTCAAAGCGAAGCCCGAGTACAACAAGAAGTTCTTCGTGACTGGTGAGAGCTACGCCAGCCATTACATTCCAGCCGTGACACACCGGATCTTCGAGGGGAATTCAAAAAACTCCAGGACGGGGACGTCAAGATCGATTTGAAGGGCATGGGTATCGGCAATGGCCTTACCGACCCGCAGGAGCAGTGCAAGTGGTACCAGGAGTACATGTGCACTGGCGCGGGCCACGCAACTCCTCCCATCAACAGCAGCGTCGAGTGCACGGCCCTTAAGGCTGCTACAGCTGCTTGCGACGCCACCCTGGCGGCGTGTGACTCGGGCGTTCCGGCTGTGAGCCAGGCAGGCTGCGGCGCTGCTATGGAGACATGCGCTTTGGGATTCCAGCTTCCGTACATGGCCACTGGCCTGAACCCGTACGATGTTCGTATTAAGTGTGACAAACTTCCTCTATGCTACGACATGTCGAACGATGTCACGTACCTCAACGATAAGGACGTGCAAAAGCAGCTCGGCGTCGACAAGAATTTCGAGAGCTACAACCTCATCGTCAACAAGGCCTTCTCTCTCGATTTCATGAAGAATTCCCACATGCTCATCCCACTTATGCTCGCAGCTGGCATCGACGTCCTCGTCTATTCTGGCGACCAGGACTTCATCTGCAACTGGCTCGGTAATGAGAAGTGGGTACAGGCGCTGGAGTGGGATCACAAACAGGAGTTCAACGCAGCAGTTAAGACACCCTACAAAGTCTTTGGTAAGGAGGTCGGCGAGCTCCAGAGCTTCGCAAATTTGCGCTTTCTGCGCGTCGCTCAAGCTGGACACATGGTTCCTTTGGACCAGCCTGAGGCCGCACTTGGTATGGTCAACGACCTCTTGGCTGGCGCTTTCCTGAAGTCCAACCTTGAGGTGGTGGTGTGAGATCAGCCCAGTCGCGGTTGACTCCACATCTCACACCCTGTGAGACATATTTTCACATCTACGAATTTCTCCTCTTGCAGCTCCCTCTGCCCTTCCCGCGCATGTTCCTCCTCCCAAGACCTCCGAAGACTGCCTGGAAATTTGATGCACATGACGCGGCCAGCCTGGGCGAGAGTTGGATACACATGTGGCCAGACGTCTTTCCAGCGCTCCGCCCTGCTCTGACCTGGTACGCCGGGCTTCCGTAGAAGTATTCAGCGTGTGTCGCTTGGATGCGCCTCATCTGAATCCAGCAGTGTGTGTGTGTGTGTGTGTGCAGTGTGTAGTGAGCCGTTCTTTGACACTCCCGCGGCCCCGAAAAGCTGCTTCTGGGTTTCTGGTCGCCGAGATTTGGCAACCCGCGCGCGACAGTCGATTTCCCAGTCGCCAGATGTGGCTCTCTGGACGTCTCGGGAAGTCTCTGCGAGGCCTCCAGAGGAGCCCACGCGCGCCCGAAGGGTGCCAGGCGGGGCAATCCGGCCTTCGCGGGCCATGTTGCAGCGACCAGTTGCAAAGGGTGTATGCCGGGGTGTGTTTTGCGATCTGCGTCGTTGGGTCCTGGGGTGTACCACGTTGCCCTCGTCGGGCCTCGTCGGGGTGCGGCGGAGAGCTCTGTCGAGGTCCTCGCCCGCCCCCCAGGGTCCTGGTTACAACCCGCACCCTTTACAAACCACACCGTTCAGAGTCGCCGAATACTGCCCCAGGGGGGTATGGAGGAGGCGTTGGTCAAGGCACTTGCCATGGAGGCTTCAGACCCTGGAGAATTCCTGATCTGACGAGGGCGGCGGTGGTGTCCATGGCCAATCCACGATTGGAGTTCAATCGACTTCCAGACCCTGGATTCCTCATCTAGCGTTTTCTTAGGCAATGCCCTCGCCGCACGCCCCATCCTCTTTCTCTTTCTCCTCCCGGCGCGACTCAGGCAGGATAGGGCGAGGGCGAAGGTCCCCCATCCTGAAAGACGCGGTGCACGCAGTGGCAGGGCCCACCGGCGAATGGCCGAGGGCCCGCACGGTCGAGGAGAGCGAGGGCGACCTTCGGGGCGCTCCGAGAATGGCTTCCCCGTCGAGGAGGCGAGGAGTTCGTCATGTCGGGCACGCAGGAGAGGAGCTCGTGTGGAGCTGGCTGGGGGTCTGGGTGGCCCAGCACTCGTTCTGGCGAGCAGGAAGGGGGGCGAGGTCCGAGGTTCTGGGTTCGAGAAGTTGTTTTGCCTTTTTCTGCCTCCGCGGGCGTTTTCGCGCCCTGGGCTGCACTAGATGGACTCCCGGAGGGGTCTTGGGACGGATTCTGAGCAGATTTGGTTGATTTTATCGGGGCCCATCCAGCTCAGACCTCCCAGCCGCCTCTCAGGGCCAGTCGTCGAGGAGGCGAGAGCTTTGTAGTGATTCAGTTGTGGCACGTGTTGTACAGATATGCATGCACACATCTACGTACTTGCAAACAGAACCAAGAGCCCTGCACACAGAACGCTGATCTGGCACAGCTTGATTGCGGAGCGCCGTGGGGGTGCCAAAGACGGCACGTGTGAGCCTAAAAAGGTCCCAATAGGTCCCCAAGAGACTCCCAAGGCCAGCCCACGATGGCCGCAGGACGTGAAAACAGGATTCATTGACGGTCCAAGGACCCGAGGAGGATCAACAAGAGGCACCGAAGAGGCAAACATACATATAGCGGAGACCTTGCGGCCGGTGCCGCCGACCATAAAGGGGGACGACGACGACGACGACGACGGCGACGCTGACGCTCTGGAGCCCTTCTTGGGGCTCTCTTGGGAGCCTCTTGGGCTCTGCTGGGGGGCCTGTTGAGGTACTTCTTGAGAAGCTCCGTGGTCACGTGGAGCTGCTTCGGAGCGGATCTGAGGCTTCTCGGAGGCATGTCGGAAAAATATGGAGCACTCCGCAACACCAGATACGAGTGAGGAGGGCGCCCCTGGGGGGGTGTCTTGGAGGAGGGGTGGTGGTGGTGGTCCCCTGATTGGGGTACTTTTGCAAACCGAGCGATCCTTTGCAAGCACTTGTGAAACGTCGCGTTTTGGAAGGCCCGGTTTGTTTGGGAAGGCCTGGTCGGTTTGGGAAGGCCTGGGCGTCATGTTGCGGAAGGCCAGTTTAGTTTTGGAAGGGCCGGTACGTTTGGGAAGGCCCGGGGGCCTCATGTTGCGGAAGACGGCCCAGTCGGTTCGGGAAGGCCCGCTCCGTTTGGCAAGTCCCGGGGGCTCATGTCGCGGAAGGCCCGGGTAGTTTGGGAAGACTTGGTCGGTTCGGGAAGGCCGAGGGGCTTCATGTTGCGGAAGGCCTGGTCAGTTTGGAAAAGCCCAGCCGGTTTTTGGGAAGGTCCGCTCCGTTTTGGAAGGCCTGGGGGCCCATGTTGCGGAAAGCCTGGTCGGTTTGGGAAGGCCTGGTCGATTTGGGAAGGCCCTGTCGATTTGGGAAGGCGGAGGGGGGCTCATGATGCGGAAGGCCCGATTTGTTTCGAATGGCTTGGTTATTTTGGGAAGGTCCGGCCTCATGTTGCGGAAGGCTCATTTAGTTTGCGAAGGACCAGTTGGTTTGGAAAGGCCCAGGCTTCATGCTGCGGAAGGCCCTGTCGGTTTGGGAAGGCCTGGGGGCCCTCATGTTGCGGAAGGCCTGGTTAGTTTGGGAAGGCCCAGTCGGTTCGGGAAGGCCCGCTCTGTTTGGCAAGTCCCAGGGGCTCATGTTGTGGAAGGCTCGGTTAGTTTGGGAAGACTTGGTCGGTTTGGGAAGGCCCGGGGAGGGTCTCATGTTGCGGAAGGCCCAGTTTGTTGGGAACGGCCCCGTCTGTTTTTGGGATGGTCCGCTCCGTTTTGGAAGGCCCGGGGGCCCATGTTGCGGAAGGCCTGGTTGGTTTGGGAAGGCCTGGTCGGCTTGGGAAGGCCTTGTCGATCTGGGAAGGCCCAGGGGTTTCATTTTGCGGAAGGCCCAGTTTGTTTCGGAAGGCCTGGTCGGTTTGGGAAGGTCCCAGCCTCATGTTGCGGAAGGCTCATTTAGTTTGCGAAGGTCCAGTTGGTTTGGAAAGGCCCGGGTCTCATGCTGCGGAAGGCCCAGTCGCTTTGGAAAGGCCCAGGGCTTAAATTGCGGTAGGCCCGCTTAGTTCGGGAAGGCCCTGTCGGTTTGGGAAGGCCTTGGGGCCCATCTTGCGGAAGAGCCAGTACAGCGCTTACGTCGGGAACCGAATGATACGCCCATGTTTAGCCTGAGAGTGTCAGAAAGCTAAGCGCCTACAGACTGCGCGCGCGTGCGTATGCATTCGCACGCGCTTCGTGTGTTGACATGCTTCACCTGACTGTAGGAATGGGACAGGACCTCTGCGGAAGCGTTGTGGAAAAACTGCCACGTCGGATGTCGTGGAGTATGGAGGGGGGTGACAGAGGGGGCGGAGGGGACGGGACGAGGAGTGTAAGGGGGAGAGGAAGAGGGAGGATGGATGGAGAGAGGGCTCGTGCCCGACACGGACGGATACCCGTTGAAATATGTGGTGCTGGGGATTCGTGTCGGAGTGGAGCCTCGGCCAGCGAAACAGGCTTCTCGTGTTTCTGTGTTTGTGTGTATGTGTGTCGAAAGCGGAAGGCACGACGTGAGGACCGCCCACGGGAATGAGCAGCAAGGATTGTCGGTCTGCAGATCCATGTGGCACGAGAGCCCTCGCACTGAGCAGCTCCGACGAACATTGCAGTGCCGCGGTTCGAAATGGTATTGAATCGATTCGCTCATTCCGCTGGCCCGTATTGCCTCGCTGCTGTCGTTGGGTGGCTTCCATTTTTCGGAGGCGGTGGGAACACTTCGCTGTGCCTGGGTGGTGGGTCACAGGCCTCATGGATGTTGGTTGGGCTCTCGTGGTTGGTCTCTTTTGGGGACCCCTGGGAGGCAGTTTTGAGGCCTCTTGGGGGTCGTGTTGGGGCCTCTTGGTGCCTCTGGGGGGCCTCTTGGGGCCTCTTGGGGTGCCTCTTGGGGTCCCCTTGGTGCCTCTTGGGGGCCTCTTGGGGTCTCCTGGGGGCCTCTTGGGGACCTCTTGGGGACTTGTCGGTTCCTGGTCCCCTTCTTGGGCCATTGTTGGGGCCGTCTTGGTGCCCTCTTGGGCCGTCTTGGAGCCCTCTTGGGCTCTCTTGGGCCCATCTTGGGGGCGTGTTGGGCCGTCTGGGGACGATGTTGGAGGCCTTTGGGGCAGTTCCGGACGCTGTGAACCCCCAAACGTCGTACATGCGGAAAATCTATGTTAAGGGAATTTGACGATGTCCTCTTGGAGAGCCTCTTGAGGCTCTCTCGGGGCTTTTTCGCGGCCTCTGGGGCCATCTGGAGACCATCTTGAGCGTCTTGGAACGGTCTTTCGGCGACTCGGGGCCTCTTGGCCCGTGTAGGGGGCGTCTCGGCGCCCTCTTGGCGCGCTCCTGGAGCGCACTGGGGGAGCCGGCCGGGCATCGCCGGGGGTACCGCCACGCGCGCGCGAACTTTACACATTGCGAACTTGTTAGTGGAGATCTTAGCACGCCTCTGGCCCGTTGGGCTGGCGAATGATCAGGCGGTCGTCTCCAGGCCGTCTCCTGATCCTGCCCCGCACAAAGGGCCAGCCCTAGCCCTCAAAAGCAATTCAGACCCCCCGTCTTGGGCGGAAGTATGATCCTCTCTGCCTCCTCATAGAGTCTTCTCTTTTTCCTTCTCGGTATGTCTGGCGAAAGGATGAAGGTCTTCCCAGTTGGATTCAAAAAGGGGCAAAGCTGGATGCTGTGTATAAGCAGGAGGGGTTCGTGACTGCCGTTCGCGATTAGGTGGACGATGACCTGCTGGAGCTCCAAGTGCTGCTGGGCTGCTGCGAGCGGGACGGGAACCGGCACCGGATTTCTGCGGCAATTTTGGAGTTCGAGGCCGCTAGTTTTACGAAGGTTTTCAGCCTACACCGCCTGATCCTTCCTGGTAACGATTGGCGGCGTGCCTGGGGGGGAAGCGAGAGTGGGCAGGCCTTCTCAGAAGGCGGTGGGGCTTCTCAGATAAGCCCTCCAGCCTTTGAGAAGCTGCTTGTGTCTTCGGATATTGTTTAGAAACTTCTCAAAAGAGTGGAGGCTTTCTGAACCATCTGAGAAGGCCCGCCACCTCTGCCTTTGCCCCTGGGCATGCCGCTGAAATGAATGATTGTGCAGACTGCATGGCAGTGCCATCTGGATGGCGCCTATTCTAGGCGCGATAGTCGGAGTTGTGTGCTGCAGCGGTGACCAGACGAGTGCTAGGCTCAGGGGGGACGTTCCGGGTTCAAGGTTCGAGGTTATCATAGGTTTTTGTCGGTCTTCCGCAGTTTTCCAGCCTCGGTGTGCGTTCCAGCAGCTGCGCCTCTCCAAGAGTGTTCCTGGGGTGTGTGATCGTCCCAACCGGCGGTCTGAGGCTCGAGATATGGCCCGACAACCGAAGCCCGAGTCATTCGGCTATTGAGCTTTAGCGCTTCTGATCTACGTGCCACTCGTTTGCCGTCGTGACTGGGACGGTAGATTTCTACGTAAATTTCAACACCGTTCCTAGGTTGCCAGGCGGCGCCCGGAGATGTCTGCATGGACGTGTTTCGGTGTTCCGTTGGGGGTCTTTCGGGAGGGAAGAGTATCAATGACACGCCGCCGTTGCGAGTCCGTCAGCATGTTTCTCCTTCGTTTTCGCCCGAAGGCCCGTCATCTCTTAAGCAGTATCGCGCTGATGGCTTCCCCACGGCGGCGTTTCATGGATACTGTTTTTGCTCCCCCAGTTCTCCAGGAAGGCCCTGATGGCCACCTGGTCGCTCTGGAGGCAAGGCCTGGCGTAGGTTTGGAGGTTTTGCTAAGGGAGTTGCCTTGCTCGGGGCCAGGCCATCGGGTGAAGCTCTGGAACCTCCGAGGCACGACTGATCGAGTGCTTAACTGACAGTCTTCCAGCGGACGGACACGAAATCCCATCAGAGATCACTCGGGCTGATTCGGGAAACCTCGAAGCCTTGGCCTGGGAGGTGTCGTGGTTGCTTCGGTGGCGTCGCACCTGACTTCGGCAGACGAGGCATCATCGCCAACGCCCCCCAGAAGGCGTATATTCGCTCGTGCCTTCGGCTGGTTTTTTTGGTGCCGCCGAGACAGTTGCCTTGGGATCCCTGGAGTTCAGGATAGTGTAGGCGACCTTCTCATACATGCATTGAGTATGAAAGCACCACTGGGGGTCTGACGCCAGGGACTGGATGGTCTCTGCTTGCAGATCGCGCAACTGCATGTTCTTATTTGACAGAGGGTTCGATTCTTTTGATAGGCTCGCGAAGCTCATCGCTGGGTCAAGGAACCTCTGCGGATATCGTTGTGGTAAGAAGAACGGTCGGTGCTCTTTACTTGTCCACTTTGGCTGGTCAGCACTAGACCTTCTCTGACGTAGCATCCTTCGGCTCTTCCGCTTTTCATATTCGCCTCCTCTAGTCTTGTCTCGGCACGCGGCTCATGTTGGCCGAGCGGAGGGTTTGGGAGCATGAAGGCGGAGAGGTGATCCGAAAGCCAGGATTCGGCCGCAGATGCTGGGCCGGCAGGGGAGGGCGGCCTGCAGGTGAAGGCGAGAGTGCGGCGCACGTGGGCGTGGTTCCCGCTGGAGAGGTGCCCTGCCCTGCCCACCGTGCTTCCCTGGAGGGGGAGAAGGGGGAGGAGGGGGAGGAGGAGGAGGAGGAGGGGGAGGCGGAGGAGGAGGAGGAGGAGGAAGAGGAAAAGTACCAGTGCAAACCCAAGAGTCACCACAACGATGTTGGAATAAACCCTCCCCCCAAGCTCCCTCGCCATAGGCCCCTACAACGGATCATTTCCACAGAGGGACCTGCCTCGTTGGAAGACAACCGTCTGAAGGCCGTGACGCATGCCAAAACATTGTTCTCGGGATTCCAACGCAACGGATACACTTGACTCTTGACGCTCCTAAATCGTGCCAGCACGCCGATCCTGGGACTTCAACACCGTGAGTCATCGTAACGGTTGCACCCTCATAATCGTGAATATTTCCCACACATTTTTTTGTACGTCGATCATGGGAATACAGGAAACTTTTGTAATTTGTTGAAACGAATGTGCGCGGCAAAGAGGAAGAGGACGAGGAGGAGGAGGACGAGGAGGAGGAGGGGGAGGAGGAGGAGGGGGGGGAGGAGGAGGAGGGGGAGGAGGAGGAGGAGGAGGACGAGGACGAGGAGGAGGCTCCTGAGGAGGTTCCTGAGGAGGAGGAGGAGGAGGAGTACCAGTGCAAACCCAAGAGTCACCACAACGATGTTGGAATAAACCCTCCCCCCAAGCTCCCTCGCCGTAGGCCCCTACAACGGTTCATTTCCACAGAGGGACCTGCCTCGTTGGAAGACAACCGTCTGAAGGCCGTGAAGCATGCCAAAACATGGTTCTCGGGATTCCAACGCAACGGATGCATATTGCGTCTTGACGATCCTAAATCGTGCCAAAACGCCGTTCCTGAGACTTCAACACCGCGAGTCATCGTAACTGTTGCGCCCGCACAATCGTGATTCCTCCCAACAATGCATTTGTTGTACATCGATCATGGGAACCCGTGAAATTCTTACAATTTGCTAAATAGTAGCGCGCGGTGAAGAGGAGGATGATGAGGAGGAGGATGATGAGGAGGCTCCTGAGGAGGCTCCTGACGAGGAGAAGGAGGAGGCTCAGAAGGAGGAAGATGAGGATGAGGAGGAGGAGGTGGCGGAAGAGGAGGAGGAGGACTATTCATATTCAGACGACTCATACTGATACGAATGCTAATCATACTACTACTACTACTACCACTACTACTACTACTACTACTACTACTACTACT